CTTATGCCACCTAAGTGCTCCCAGAACTCTCAACTCCAATTCTCTTTCAAATAACATATATGAATATATCTCTGTTGTTCTCCTCCACTTCTTATGGATACTCCATATACCTCTTCTTCTAGATAAATGCCTGCTTATATCAGAAGCACCCCTTGTACCTTTGATGAGCCATATCAACTCATTCATACATGTAAAAAATAACGCTTCATATGGCGTTATTTCCAGATAGGAAGTGTCACATGCGGCAATGCAATATGGAATTGGAAAAAATTCCATATTGCATTGTCGCATGTGACACTTCCTATCTGCCCCCAACTACGCTTGACACTTTTTGTTCACATGAAAAAAATCTGTATTTTTTGCTAGGAAATTAATTTAAACCCCCAAATATTATATATTTTTATAAAGCAGACACCCTAGTGAATAAAATGATGGGTACTACAATTTTTTATGGCACATAGTACTCGCACAGCGATTTTTCAAAGCAAATTTAAAAAAAAAAAAACAAAACACTTTTTTTACTTTTAATGCACAAAAACACAATATATTGGCCAATTATTTGGTAAAGTATAAAAGAGAATGGTATGCCAAGTAAATAGATACCAAACATGACATGCTTTAAAACTGGGCATGCCCCGTGCAATTGTGACAAACTGCATACATTTTTAATATTCATAGGCAATGCTTTAAAAGCCTTTAAAAGCTACCATTTTAGATTTACAGAGGAGGTCTAGTGTTATAATTACTGCCCTTGATCTGACGTTCACGGCAATACCTCACATGCATGGTGCAACCGCTGTTTACATACCGGCACAAGGTCAAGGCTTGTGCACACAGGTGTGCGTGCATGGGAGGGGCGAGTTTTTTATTTATTTTTTTTAAGTTATTTTGATTTTTTTATTATTTTTACACTGTACCTTTCATTTTTTTTTTTTTTTTTGGATCATTTTAATGCTATCACAGGGAATGCAAATATCCCCTATAACTTCAATGGGCATTGTCATATATTTTTTTTTGAGAAATCTGGGGTCTATCAGACTCTGGATATCTCCTCTGCCCTTACATTATTCAAACCAAAATCAGTGTGATCAGATGCTTTCACAATTTACAAATGGCGCTGTTTATATCCTGCGAAACTGAAGTGTTGAAATGCTCGTTGCTTCTGAATTCTTATAATATAGAGATGATTGGCACCACTCTGGTCTCCAATCAGCTCCATGGTCAGCTGGCAGAAACACCGGCTGCATTCTCAGGTTCCCCCGATGGCACGGGACTGCCCGAGAAGGCCGTGGAAGGCAGCGGGGGAGAGGAGCATCATATCCCGCTGCTTGTAAAAGCAATCCTACAGCTAATTAGCCACTAGGATTGCTTTTACATGAAAGCCGATCGCTGGCTGAAAAAAATGATACCAGGATGATGCCTGCAGCTTTAGGCATCATGCTGATATAACCATTCAAAATGCAGTGATGTACCAGTACATCGCTGATCCTTGATTATATATGCTATGTTCTTTTTTTTTTTGTATGCAGCCTGTGGATCGAATGAAAACAAGAGTAGAAATCTCTGCCAAAAAAAGTGTGTTATGCCCACCATTAGAATATATTGCCCTGCATCCACCCACTTCTAATGGTGAGCACACATTAGGTCACACTTTGCCACAAGCGCCAGTTCCAAGATTGAACAAATGTTTAAATAGTGGCACGCTTGAATAAAAACTGTCCACGTATAATTGGTACCCAATATGGAAAAAGGATGACACCAAGTCCCAAACTACCTTGCCACTGCTCCCCATGTAGTCTGGGCACCTGGGGGGCTCCACGTGACTATCTTTTCCCTCGTAAATCCGAAACTTATAAGTATAGCTTGTTGTCCTCTTACAGGTCTTCTACATCTTGATCCCATATCTGGCACGCTTGCAGGGGAGAAATTGTTTGAATGCAAGGCGGACAGAAAAATTAATGAGGGACTCATCAATGCAGATTTTTTGCTGGGGAGTATATACATCTGCAAATTTTTGGTTAAGGTGATTTTCGAGGGGCTGAATTTTGTGGAGCCGGTCAAATTCAGGGTTACCCCAAGGATGACAGAGTGTATTTGTCAGGGCTCCAGGGTATGACCAAAGGTATGTGAACTGACGCAGGGAAACGCAGGCTTCAGATATGTTTATAAACAATATAATTTATTAACACTAACAATACATAAACGCAGTGCAATACTAAAACATAACAACACAGTGCAAACAAACCAAACCAAACCACCCACAGATAACAATACATACCATGCAAGCGTCGTCAGGCAGGCCGGGTCAATAACAATCGGGCAGGTAGGAACAGGAGGAGCAGGCAGAGAATAGTCAGGTCACAAACCGGGTACAGCAACTAACGGGCAGGTAGGTACAGGGGGTCAGGCAGAGAATGGTCGGGGTCACAAGCCAGGGATCAAACAGGAGAAGTCAGCAGAGGTCCAGATCAGGCAGGGTTGACAACGAATCAGTCAGACAGGGACAGGAACAGGAACAGGGACAGGGATGCAGGTAACAAGATACAGGGGCCCAGGAAAAACACACACCAAGGCCCAGACTGCAGGTCTGGCCATCCCTTAAATACACCTGCATAATCAGCTTCAGGTGTTTGGCTGGCTGCAGGGGTTGAGTCTCTGATTGCTGAGAGCACCCGCTGGCCAGCCCTGGTACTGCAGCCCACAAGGCAGGTGAGTCCCACCCTTACTGGCAAGTCCATTCCTGACAGTACCCCCTGTGGCAAACTTGCTCATCAGAATTGGAGCGGAGTTCCCCCTCAACCCTCGTTTCCGTGTTCTGTCTGTGTATTTGAGGTCTTCCTGGAATCCTCACATCCCCCCTGCATTCCTGTGAGGCAAACTTTATCTCCTGGCAAATGGTGTGGAACAACCTAAGACATGAGAAGTGGAGCCGGCCAGTCTGCAAAGGTGTCACTTTTATCACCCAAAACTATGTAAGCCCACTCATTATCAAACCGACCAGAATAAGTGCACAGTCCTCAGGTCAACTGTATGGTTCATATCACAGGATATGAAGCTAGTAATTTAGTGTGGAGTTTCCCAATGACCACTCCCAAGTCAGAGCCCCCTTCCTCCCCTTTTGAGAGGGACCTTTTAAGAGAGTAAGTGAGTTAGACACACACACAGGGATCTCCCAGCAACATCGTAACAAGGGGAGATCAAAGAACCTTTCTGCTCTGCATCTTGAATTTGCTAAAACCAGGCAAGGCAAGTAACTTACCCTGTATTTTCTCGCTATTCTATGTTTGCTGTATCTTTATATACATATATATATATTCTTGTGACATCTTTGTAACTATTTATTTTGCATCTGTTTGACCGTTAGAAATAAATCTTTCTTTCTGAAAGTGTTAAACTGTTTCTAAGCGCTTACTTGCAATTCACGAATCCCTGCCTTTGAAGGACGCTACTGTGGTTATATTTCTGTATAGTAGGTCCGCGGGCCGTGCTATATAGATCAATATTTCAATCATTATAGTGTATATTTGGTAACGGGAGTTTCCCAGTCTCCGACAAAAGTGGTGGTGGCAGTAGAGGGTTAGTTGCATAACTAATCCGACCCAATAACAAGCGCATTCAGGCTGCAGGCACCGATTGTAGTCCATTAGCTGGGCAATCGCTGTGTAGGGTGCAGCTGGGTGGGGCCTTGTTACGCGCGTCACACCGCGGTTTTGGATCGGCCAGCCCTTCGGTCACGAGTTTGGTGAGAAGGTCTGGGGTCTGACGCCGTGGGCGTGACGTATTACTGTTAGTCGCGGCTGTGCGATTGTCGCCTGTTGGTGGCGGCGGCCGCGGGTCGTGACACCCCCCCCTCAAGGAGCGGCCTCAGGACGCTCCAAACAGTCCTAGCTGGGCAAAATGTTCCACCGCCCGGGTCTGGTAACTGGCGGGATATCAAAGACTGGCACATCGGGCAGGACTCCGGGCAGCGGCACACCGGGCAGGACTCCGGGCAGCGGCACACCGGGCAGGACTCCGGGCAGCGGCACATCGAGCTGGACTCCGGGCAGAGGCACATCGAGCTGGACCGGGCAGAGGCACATCGGGCTGGACACCGGATCACCAGGCGGAGCAGCAGGCACCGGGCCACCAGGCGGAGCGGCAGGCACCGGGCCACCAGGCGGAGCGGCAGGCACCTGGCCACCAGGCGGAGCGGCAGGCACCGGGCTCCCAGGCGGAGCGGCGGGCACCGGGCCCCCAGGCGGGGCGGCGGGCGCCGGGCCCCCGGGCGGGAGTGGCGGGCATCGGGCCCCCAGGCGGGGCGGCGGGCGCCAGGGCCCCCAGGCGGGGCGGCGGGCATCGGGCCCCCAGGCAGAGCGACAGGCATCGGGCCCCCAGGCGGGGCGCCGGGCCCCCAGGCGGGGCGACAGGCACCGGGCCCTCAGGCGGAGCGGCAGGCACCCAGGAGGGGCGGCAGGTGCCGGGCCAGGAGGGGCGGCAGGCGCCGGGCCCCCAGGAGGAGTGACAGGCGCCGGGCCCCCAGGCGGAGCGACAGGCACCGGGCCCCCAGGCGAAGCGGCGGGCGCCGGACCCCCAGGAGGGACGGCAGGCATCGGGCCCCCAGGCGGGGCGGCGGGCGCCGGGCTCCCAGGCGGAGCGGCGGGCACCGGGCCCCCAGGCGGAGCGACGGGCATCGGGCCCCCAGGCGGAGAGACGGGCATCGGGCCCCCAGGAGGAGCGACAGGCATCGGGCCCCCAGGAGGGGCGGCAGGCACCAGGCCCCCAGGCGGAGCGGCGGGCACTGGGCCCCCAGGCGGAGCGGCGGGCACCGGGTCATCAGGCACGACAACGGGCATCGGGTCACCAGGCATCAGGTCATTTGGCTCGCCAGCGGGCACCGCGTCATCTGGCAAGGCAGTGGGCACCGAGTCACCAGGCACGACAGTGGGTTCCGAGTCAACTGGCATGACCATGGGCACTGGGTCAGACATTGGATCGTCTGACTCGAAAGCGGGCATCGGGTCACCAGGCATCAGGTCATTTGGCTCGTCAGCGGGCACCGCGTCATCTGGCAAGGCAGTGGGCACCGAGTCACCAGGCACGACAGTGGGCTCAGAGTCAACTGGCATGACCGCGGGCACTGGGTCAGACATTGGATCGTCTGGCCCGACAGCGGGCATCAGGTCACCAGGCATGACAGCGGGCACTGGGTCATCAGGCATTGGATCGTCTGGCTCAACAGCGGGCATCGGGTCACCAGGCATGACAGCGGGCACTGGGTCATCAGGTACCGGATCGTCTGGATCAACAGCGGGCATCGAGTCAACTGGCCTAATGGAATCATCAGGCTGGATCAGTTCATCAGGCTGAATGGAGGCATCAGGCTGAATGGAGGCATCAGGCTGAATGGAGGTATCAGGCTGGGTAGAGGCATCAGGCTGGGTAGAGCATCAGGCTGGGTAGAGGCATCAGGCTGGGTAGAGGCATCAGGCTAAATTGTGGGTGCCGAGGCACCAGGCTGCACCACGGAAGGCCGGTTCTCAGATGGGAGGCTGACCGGTTTGGATACTGGCAGGATGGTATTGGTTGGAAAGAACTTTCGCCTTTTCCTGGTTTTAGTTACCGGTGCACTGTTAGTAAGCGCAGGTTTGTAAACGGATGGAGCAGCTGGAGACAGAGAAGAGCTGGAGGATGGAACAGGGGAGGGAACAGTTGCTACAGAGGGCTTCTTTACAGGGTTAAAAGCAGGATAGGTGCAGCGAGTGGGAACAGGGTACTGACATGCAGTAGATAGCAGGGTATACTGGGCTGTAACTGGAGGTGCTGTTGGGAATGCAGGAATAGAGCTTTGAAGAAATAGATTAGAAGCAGGACTGGGTTTTTGCAAGCTGACTGAGGCAGGGTGTAACAAATCTGACCATGTCTGCAGTACGGGTTGAACAAAGCTCCGCTTACACAAAGCCTGTCTGACCAAAGGCTGCACTGCGTTTATACAATCCCTTAATACCTGTGGTGAACATGCAGCATAATGCTCCAAGAAGCAATCCACATCATCCTCTAATAACCATACCAGGGACTCTACCTGGTCTGCACTAAATGGTGGCAAAAAGTCATTCCTGCTTTCAGGGGTACCAGATGAAGCCAACTCTACACAAACCTGAATCAAAGGTTGCACCTCAGAGAACTCTGTGCCCTGATCTACTAGAACATGAGCGATCCGTATACATTCTAGCAGTTGATCCCTGGTATACTCCCTCAGAGCCTGATAAACATATTCTCTGTCATCAAAAACCAGCAGCGACAAATACACAACCTCATCAAGATCCATCCTTCCCAGCAACAAGTCAAGATGGCTTCCCTGTGCAGCCACTTCTGGTCAGGATTGGCCTTTGTGTAATGTCAGGGCTCCAGGGTATGACCAGAGGTATGTGAACTGACGCAGGGAAACGCAGGCTTCAGATATGTTATAAACAATATCATTTATTAACACTAACAATACATAAAACGCAGTGCAATACTAAAACATAACAACACAGTGCAAACAAACCAAACCAAACCACCCACAGATAACAATACATACAATGCAAGCGTCGTCAGGCAGGCCGGGTCAATAACAATCGGGCAGGTAGGAACAGGAGGAGCAGGCAGAGAGTAGTCAGGTCACGAGCCGGGTACAGCAACTAATGGGCAGGTAGGTACAGGGGGTCAGGCAGAGAATGGTCGGGGTCACAAGCCAGGGATCAAACAGGAGAAGTCAGCAGAGGTCCGGATCAGGCAGGGTCGGCAACGAACCAGTCAAACAGGGACAGGGATGCAGGTAACAAGATATAGGGGCCCAGGAAAAACACACACCAAGGCCCAGACTGCAGGTCTGGCCATCCCTTAAATACACCTGCATAATCAGCTTCAGGTGTTTGGCTGGCTGCAGGGTTGAGTCTCTGATTGCTGAGAGCACCCGCTGGCCAGCCCTGGTACTGCAGCCCACAAGGCAGGTGAGTCCCACCATTACTGGCAAGTCCATTCCTGACATTATTGTCATTGAAATGCATAAAACACATTATACTCTCATATCTATGCCTGGCCATGGCAGCAGAGAACACGGTATATGATGATTCGGGTCTGTGGACCAATACAACCGCAATTCATTTTTTTTAGTAATGCCCATGTTGAGGGTTAGGTCCAAAAAAATGTAAATTCAGAAACCGTAATGAGTTTCCATGCGACTGGTCTGGCAAAGTTTGAATTTTGGTTGGCGGCGATAAATTGTGTGTTTGATCCACAATCAACGCATACAGATATTCCGTGAAAAACAGCTAAAAAAATCAAGGGGAGGAGTTAAATTTGCTATTTCCACCTGAATTCCAGGTTGGGCAGTGAATGGGGGAAGTACGGGTGCTGCAGAATTTGTGGGCTGTCAATCGGGATTTGCAAGCACATCCGGAAGGATACTAGAAGCTCTACGGGCCTGTGTGCAAATTCTATGTGGTTGCGGGATAATACTTGTGCTCGCCACCGCACCAGCTTGTACTGGACTTATGGGACTCGCCACGTCACCAAGTCATACTGCAGTGCTGGTATTATTATTCTTATACAGTATTTATGGCACCAACAGTTTGCTCAGAGTTACAATATAACGGGAGACAATACAGAACAATACAGTTCAATACAAGAGGGTTAGGAGGGCCTGATCCTGGGAGCTTACAATCTAAGAGATATGTGAAAGACCAGGATGTACTAGGCCACTAGTACTTGCCAGTTCACCAAAAGGTAGCGCGGTACTAGTACTGGCACTCTGCTGCATATGAGAGTCATCAAAATTTACCAGCAAGTGCTAACAGAGATCAGGCCTGATTCTGCCAACACTGCGGTTTTGTGTGTAATGTATCAAGTGGCAGTGACCTACTGACACTGCACTTGCTGGGGGAGAAGGGGGGTAATCATAGGGGCTAAACGCAGGTGCTGGCAGGTGCTGGGGCTGATCCCGCTAACGCTGCATTTTTGAGGACACTATACAAATGTGAACGCTGGTATAGTGCTGATCTGATCAAAGATATTGATCCGTTCAGACACTATACTAGCAATGGAGCTTGTTCCTGGCAATCAGGGGGTTAAATGTCATGACTGGTGTACTGACGGGCAATCTGATGCTATCTGGGAGGGGTGTGAATACCGTGGGAGCGCGAATCACACATATATATATATATATATGTGATTTTGTGCACCCATGCCGCCCTGTAGCAGTATTTCTGCTTTAGGGCGGTCCGGAAGCTTTTACAGAAGCAGTTTGTGTTACGTCACTGCGTTACTTTAACTGACAGTTGCGCGGTCATGCAACACTGCACCCAAATTAAATTTACGTCCTTTTTTGCCACAAATTGCGCTTTCTTTTGGTGGTATTTGATCGCCTGTGCGGTTTTTTTTTTTATTTTTTGCGCTATAAAAAAAAAAGGCTGACAATTTTGAGAAAAAAACAATATTTTGGACTTTTTGCTATAAAACATGTCCAGTAAAAAAATTTTAAAAACAATTTCATCATAAATTTCGGCCAAAATATATTTTGCGACATTTCTTTGCTAAAAAAAATCCCAATACGTGTAAATTAATTGGTTTACATGAAAGTTATAGCGTCTACAAATGGCGGTATAGATGCTGGATTTTCAATTTTTTTATACTAATAATAGCGGCGATCAGTGACTTATGGTGGGACTGCGGGACTGCGGTGGACATTCTGACACTGGGGGGGAACTGACTCGGGGTCAGTGACATCTCCAGTGACACCAATACAGTGATCAGTGCAAAAAAAACCACTGACACTGTACTAATGGCACTGGGGAGGAAGGGTTAACTTTTTAGGCACTGAAAGGGTTAACTGTGTGAGGGGAGTGTTTTACTAGGGGGCGGGGGTGTGTACTCCATAGGAACAAGCTGTCCAGGAAAGCTAATCTCTGCTCTCTTTGACGGTGTGTTAGAAACTGACAGGGAGCAGTGCTGCAGTGCAAACACTGCAGCTGTGCTCCCTGTCAGTGATTGCCACTAAACGCCGGGACCCGATGGGTAATGACCGTCCGGGACCCGGTGATTGACACCCGCGGCCGCGATCGGTGGTGCCTCGCGCGCACCCCCTACTTGTTTTGCAGAATGACGTTTAAAAATGTGATTCTGCACAGCGGTGCCACCCTGCCGCAGTATAAACACTGTGGCTGGACGGTAACCAGTTACAATAAAAGCAAAATGCAAAAAAAAGTTAAAACATATAAAGTCAGTTATGGTTAAAAAGCGTACCAATAAATAAATAATTTGCGCTAGTAAATGTGTATAAAAAGAAATCATCAAATCATAAGTCCAGAAAAAAATATATATGCCAATACCACAAAAAAAAAATAAAAAAACTTTTAAGTGCAAAAAACTTTTGTGTAATGTCAGGGCTCCAAGCACTCGAGAGAAACAGAGCTCCGCCCTCCGCTCCGTGAGGACGTCGATGACGAAACGCGTAGGGCGGAGCTTGATTGATGTGACGTCATTACGTTTTTGGCTGCCAGCTACTGCGCATGTGCTGAGTAGCCAGGCTCGTTTATGTGATTGCTGTTATGCTGTTGATGCTGGTGTCGGCTGGGACAACGCTTGAGTAAGTGCAATGAGTACCTAATAAAGGAATTGGTTTTTATAATATTGCACCATGAAGTCTTTCTGTTTCTCTCGAGTGCTTGGCATTTCCCCCTATGGATACGTTTGAAGGTGGTGCTTTATCTATTGGAGAAGTGGATTTTCGATTAACTACAAAGTTTTTCATCCTGTTATTTCGATCGATGAGGATCGGTGTGTTGCAGAGTTTCCGTTTCTGAAGATATATTTATGGATGATCTGCCATTATATTATCAAGGTTTTTTGGTGAAATTTTTCATATTTAGACACTTTTTTTGCACAAAAGTTTTTTGCACTTAAAAGTTTTTTTATTTTTTTTGTGGTATTGGCATATATATTTTTTTCTGGACTTATGATTTGATGATTTCTTTTTATACACATTTACTAGCGCAAATTATTTATTTATTGGTACACTTTATATATGGTGATTTTTTGCAGCTGGTACACTATTAGTAAGTTATATAATTTTGACCATAGGCGCTATTATTAATTTTTCTTATGGTTAAAAAGCATTTAAAAAAGCACCTGAAAACTGGCAAATGTGCAATGTCTACATATGATTTACTTCATCCAAGACCACCGCTTTGGCTTGCTCACCCCCTTAGGCTGGATTCACACTTGAGCGATTTGTAGCTTGAAGCTCCAAAAATGCTCAAACATAAAAAACCTATTGTTCTCTATGGTGCCTGTTTGTGCGATTGAGTGTGAACAGGCAGCATAAAGAACACTTGAGGTTCAAGCTATAAATCGCTTAAGTGTGAATCCAGCCTTAGAGCTGCTTGACTCTTGCTTC